GTATGTCCTACTCACATACCCTTTTTAGGATATATCTAGTAATATCTGATTGGTCTGCAAAAAGATGAGCCCTGTAGTCAGGACAACTGTGGCCCCTGTCAGGACATTTTGCAGGGTGCATTTAGAGAGTCTTTTCAGTGATTTGTGATTTGATGTGAGATATCCACTTCTCTTTGCCCTATTTTTACTACAGGATGACCCACACTTCTCCTTCCCCATGAAATGACCTGCAGTCCCTTAGGGAAAAACATTACACAGGGCAAAGCTGTGGTTCAGATTCAAAGTTAAGCTTCACCTAAATGGAGACCAGTCTGACGATGACCTTCCTGAAGTCTTTAGTCATGATGGTATGACAATGAAGTAAATTGGATCAGTTTCCCAGTACAATTGAAACAAAAAACAAACAAACAAACAAAAACCCCCAAAACCCAACCATAAAACAAAACAAACAAAAAAACCCAAAACACCACCAACCAACCAAAACAAAACAAACAAACAAAACCACCACACAAACACAAGGAGAGGTGAAAATACAATGGCAAGTCATCCAGTTGTAAAATTGAGGCTTAACTGCTAGATAAATCAACCTGAGAACTATTCTTTAGAGAGCTGAAGGGGCCAATTTTTTCTCTCAGTTATGCTGAAGCCAAGGAAGTAGGTCTATTGTCACTTCAAGAAGTATTTCACCTCAGTTTCCAAAGTGCATCAGCAAAATACTCAGAAAGCACCACTCTTCCAGACACACACACACACACTGTACCCAGCCTCAGGCTAAATTCTTCCAGTGTCACTTACAACATCAAAATGACAAAACTCAATGGTTTTTTTCAAGAGAATATATTTTACTGCCTAGGAAGAGGCACGAAGCAGCAGGTGGTATTTGTTTTTTCCCTTGTTGAAAATCAATTCCCTGTGCTTCAATTACATATGGGATTTTTTTTGTCACTTAAGTGCAACCCATTTCTGTAACAGCCCTGACACTCCAGCACAGTATGTACCCTGTGGCTGGGAAGGTAAAGCCTTTATCCAGCTCCCTCAAGGCTGCCACTGAGAGTGCCTCATAAATCAGCTGGTTGGAATAACTCAGGTAGGGCTTAATCCAAAGCCCAGTGAAGTTGGTGGAAAGCTTTACATTGATTTCAGCCAGCTCTGGACTGGTACCTCAGAGCTTTATACAACCATCATCCCAGGCAAAGGACTCCCTCTCTCTCTGAGGAGCAGGACAAGGCCTTGTCTTTGCCACAGAGCAGTTAAAGACATAGCACATCCCATCACCCAAACGACTGGTAGTGTCCTTTTTTCCCTGACCTCACACCTGATCAATACAGACTAGAAGCAAAATGCAAGGAGACTGGCACAGTTAACAGTGCCATACTTTGTCCAGGGTTTCCCAGTCTATGCCTGAAAAACCTTGTTCTCCCATGAGGTACAAGAGCTGCTGGGTCTCCGCCAGCTTCAGCACGTGCAATAAATCTGACAGCCTGGGACAAAGCTGGACAAAGTCCCATATGTCTGCTGTTGGACACATGTCCCCTAAACAGGTCTGCAGTGCAGCTACAAATATGTTAACAGGCCTCCAGAGATCCAGCAACTATAAACAGTAAAAAAAATCTGGCTGGACAAAATTTCTGGATGGGCACAACGAGTCTTTGTGGGGAATCCAGAATGTGTGGGATACCTGGAAAAGGTAAGATATTAAAATGCCAAGAAAACACTTGCTGAGTTGGTGTCAATTTGTATCTGAGTTGCCACAATATGAACTAGTAGCCACAGCACATACCAAGAGTGAAATGCAATGTTGATCTTCAAAAGAAAACTGGCCTCTTCACAGGCTCAATCATAAGCTTAAGAACCCACAGTGCAAAGGCTACACAGCACAACGAAGCATCATTTCCAAATTATTTCTAATGGAAAAAAAAACCAAAACACAAAGCCTAACACCAGACTTCCAGGACTGAACTTACACTAAACTTCTCCAAAGATTAGGCTTAAATAGCTGGACACCAGTGGCTCCAGCATCACAGACACCTGGGAATCTGATGGCATACGTATCCTAATCAGTCCTAACATGGCCTCTGGGCCCTGGTAAAGGCACAATAACATCAAGTCACTTCCTCTTGGGCACGTGGTGCATGAGTCCATGCTGCTACAACACGTTTTCACCCCTCGGTCTTTCTTGGGCATAGGCATCAGGCTAGAAAGACATGCATTCCATGTACTTTCATTCCAGGAAATGGCAAAATGTGTCACTGCGACTGGCTGAGCTACAAATACTGTTTGATATGATATACTTGCATTTTGGGGTTTACTATTCTATTCAAAGAAGTCTAAGTAGTGTCTGGGACACCTAGCAAACATGTTACAGGCTACACAATCATCCATCTGTCCATCTTTCAATGGAAATGCTTACAACCAGTGGTATTTTCCCCATAGTCAGGCTACAGCCCAATAATGGAAGGGTGCAGGGAAATGCCCTGTACCCAAGCAGCAGGTGCCAGTGCTCAGAGCTGACAGAGCATTTTCAGCCTCCACACTGCACCTTAGGACTGCACAATTCACTTCATAAAATGCTTGAAAGTGCTCAGAGGAAAGTCTACTGTAGCTCATGACATGTATGTGAACGTGTTGTAGTAATATTTTAAAGGTAAATATGATCCCCAAATCCCTAAAAATCTAAATTCATCAAAACCAATCCAGCATCCCATATTCATTTGTTAATAACTGCCCCAATGCTGCTGCCTTTCACGAGTCGTGAGCAGTGCAACGCAATGGAAGCAAACACTGAGCTCAGCTCCTCCTCCACGTTACCCATGTTAGCAGATTTCAGGATGTCCTGGCTCCCAGAGTCACATCTGAATTTGAGAATCAGGCTCTGTTATTGTTAAGGCAAACAAAAAATAAAAAAAAACCAGACTAAATTATTTTAAAGATCTCAAGATTTTTAAAGGAGTCTGGTGACTTTAAAGGAGAATGACTTGTGGTAAATGAATGCTTGAAGTTGGCAGCAGTGGAGGGAGTACAGCAAGATTTAGCATACAGCAATTTATTGTTAAAAGGCTTCAAATGTGTGGGAAAGGCCAGGGAGTTGATCTGCAGCGATTTCAGAGAAAACAGGGACACAGGCCTAAGCTCTTCTCTTCTGGCTAGGCTGCCATAGAGGTCCCCTCCTCCATGAAGACTACCACACTAAATCCCAACAAAGCCACCCCAGACATGGCTAAAACACTTTTCAAAAGCAGGGGTGGGATATATATCCAAAGCCCTGGGATATATATCCAAAGCTTCAATAGTGGCAAAGGCAGAATCCTTACCCCCAACTCCCTGCTGCCTTCACAAGCCAGCCATGGCTGATGCTCAGGCCACCCCACAGCCTCTGCACACTCACATTAGAGCTAGGAGGTCTTCAAGTGACACTTTTCTGTAGTAGAAAGTACCCTCCAAACTACACTCCCCAGCATCCTCCACAGGCCACCCAAGGTCTCTATTCACAAAAAAAGCCTAAAATTTGAGCCTTTCCTTAAGCAAATTTTCTTAAAGCCGAAGTGTACTGCACGTATATAAACATCATGTGTTATACAATACACTAGTATGGGCTCTGCAGTCCCTCTCATGCTGCCCAACACACACATACAGGCCCAGACCCAGGGGAAATTTTCTGGCAGTTTAGTGCATAGCACATTTGCTCCTCTGCCTTTCAGGGATGGCAATGGCTGCACTGTGCAAAGGGAGGCTGCTGCCTCATTTCCCTTTGGCCACCACACTTCACATGAGTTTATTTATCTGCCAGCAATGCTGCTGCTTTCCAGAGCTTATGGGTTCACCGTACAGCCTCACAAGAGCTCACACACCCAGTTTTGCATGGCAACACTTTCTTTATGAAGAAAGGTAGCCATTGTGACTAGTCTATCTGGGATTCACTCCTGCCTGCCAAGTATCATCAATTTCCATTAGACAGTTGCTCGTGTAGCAGGACCTTATTAAAAAGTTCAAAGCAGACATACAAAGTATACTGCATTCTGCTGGCTTTCATTTAAAACTGCTCTGAAAAAATGATTTTTTTTCAATAGCATTCAGAATCCAAAACCCCAGGGTTTTGTCAGATCATGGGAAAGGACAGAAATGAAAATGAAGTCCATATTCAGAATTGAGTACAAAAATGGGAACAAAATGTGCTTAAATCTAGCTTTTATTTCTTTAAATCAGCACACTATTAATAAACTAAATCAAATCTTTATATCACTGAAGACATTACAAAAATAAGTGGAGCCTGATTTTCTCCCTGCATATACCAGTGGAAATCCCACAAAACTGAAGAGAACTATGCAAGTGTAAAACAGGTTAGTTAATGAAATGTCATTCCCAGTATTTTCAGGGTGTTTCTTTCATAAATTGACAACATCATATCCACATCAAGTTCTGTTTTCATTTTCACCAAAATAAATCTGTAATAACTAGTAGCAAATGCTGCCCTTGTTGCCCACATAAAGTGACTATAAATGAATAAAAAGTGGCAGGCAGTACAAACACAGCAGCAATGGCATAGTAGTGGCAGACAATTCACAGATATGCTATACTGCATATACCAAGTTTATCTCAGCTTTCAATTACATCTTATAACTTTAGCTCTAATATACATATTATCAAACATCTATAAATATCTTACAAGCACAATCCCTCCTGTACAACACTCATATAGCATCTGAGCATGAGCTTTTCTATCAAGGATTTCACGCACCCATATTCCACCTTTGATGTTTCCATTTATCCATATAACAAAATAAGTAGAAGCCAGGACATTTACAACAGCCTATGAGAATTAGACACTAGACACCCCTCATCTCTCCCACAGTATTAACTAAAGCTCTTTTATGTCACATATCATTAGCACAAGGACTCTTTGGTTAGCTATAACATACTTTGGAATTTGAGGCAGAAATTCTCAAAGCCACTGCTAATCAAAGGCAACTCACTAGCACCATTTTCCATATGTAGTAGCTCACCTCTCTGCTTCAAGGCGCATTTCCTCACGCTTTTGCCTCCTGAGTTCTCTGCGGCGTTCAAAGTCATCCATGGTGGGTGTTTAAGTGTTTCAAGCTCTGAGAAGATCCAAATCTGAAAGGGAGAGGATCACTTAGATGAGAGAGAAAACACAATGGATGTGTTTAAACAACTGAGTCCATTTAGTTTTGTTTTACTGTCTTAACTTTGCTGTAACTATTTTCTTTTTCCATCAAAAAATTTAACTTCCTCAGCCTTGCTGAGATAAACAAGATTAATGAAATATCTTATAGGATAAACATAGCCCGTGCCTGCATTTAGTTTCTTAGTTAAATTAAATCAATATGCTTTAAGTAAGGACTGTATACATCTGCTAGCCGCAGACTAGCTATTTGTAACATCACAGGTCTTTTCCACAAACAAAAGCAGCAATTCAGCAGTATTTTAACTTTAAGCTTCAAGTTTTTCTCCAGAGCAGTAAAAACACTGCAAAAGAGAGTCCCTTTTTACTTTAGTTTCACAGATAATTAAAAGTTTTGCAAAAGTGAGCTGTCTGTCCGTTTCCACCCCCCTCCTCACAAAAAAGGAAAAAAAAATAAAAAGAGGAGAAAATGAGAAAAGAGAAGAAAGAAAAATAAAAGAGAAAAAAGTAGGGGGGAAAAAAGAGAATGAAAACAGAAAGAAGAAAAATAAGCCACCACTTTTAAATATCACACAGTAGAAGCCAAACTATATACAAAACCCGCTCCAAAAAAAAAAAAAAGGAGCAATTTTTTTGGTAGTTTAATCCACGATTTTTCCCCATGCCCTACCTTCTTCTTTAAGTTTTAATCCATGAAGTATTTTCCCCTGTACAGTTCTTCTTCTTTCCAGCCTTGGTTTATATCCCATCAAGCCGAGTATTACAGAATTCCCCTGCAGCCCCCAAACCAAAAATGACTACCAGAAAAGGGAAAGCTGTTCTCTTTTTGTCCCTGCTTTGTTTACAGAGCTGTCAGTGGTTAGTTAAACTCTGCCTGGAATCTGGCATTTAAGGCCTGCTCTAAGATTGCTTCCTGTGCAGGGCTGGAGGCCTCAGCTTCCTCTGCAATCCTAAACTCTGTGCTGCGCTCCGAGGATTTCCACTTCCCATGGCTCCCCCCCCAAACCACGTTTCCCAGCCCATTAGCCCATTTATGCTGCAGAGAAAGCCACCATGCAGATGTTGACTAAAACTTTCAAAAGTGGCTTATGAGATGCTTGCAGTTTAAGGGAAACAAAGCCAAGGTACATTTGTAAGTTATTTGAAGTAGTCCATTTGCAGATGTAGATCTGTCTTGCGGCTTTATATTCCTTCCCGCTGATGCAGCTTCCAAGCATCCTCCACATAAAATCACTGGCACTAGCAAAGCCTTGTATGACTTAAGGGAATTCATGGCTTTTTTTGACCCATTTTTTGGATTAAAACACTGCTGAGGGCAAGGGTTTTGTGAAGGTTATCTTATTAATGTACTTTTCCTAGGGGTGTTTTTCTTTCTGATTTGTTCCTGGATTGGGGGATTTAAAATTTTCTTGTTGTTGATGTGATTTTCATTGCATTTGTCTGGTTGGGATTGTTTTGTGGAGGTTCAAAGGGAATGTTAATTTTGCAAATCTCACTGACATACTGCAAATGCTGCTACTTGCTGGTTTGTTGTTTTTTCTTTTTTTTTTTTTTTTTAACTCACAGTTAGATCATACATCTAAAAAGCAAGTTGTAATAAGACTTTTTTCCAATCTTGTGTTTGTTTACTCTTACCACCATGTAGCCCTTGAAAAACATTGAGCAACATATCTGCTGTTTTCCCCCAAGAAGTGTTTCCACCTCTGCCTACACGTGCTGCTAAATCCAGTCTCAGTTCCTTTGCTAGAGGGCCTGTGAGTTGCAGAACTGATGTGGTTGCCCCTGGCTGAGACAATGACTAAAGGAGGAAAGGTACACCACTGCTACATTACACTACAGATCAAGTTCAAAGCAACATGCTGGGTTTCTGTGCACAGAAGGCAGATGACGTTGTCTGCAGAAACTAAGACTGTACCAGGCAGCAGCATTTATTCTGTGGAGTATAGTCACAGTCAGGGATTTAAAATATAAAGAGCTGACTGTTAGGATGACAATTTGTGTGCTACAATTGAAAATCCTGAAGTTTTCTCCTGCTCTACCTTCCCAAAGCAGACATACTTTGACAACTGATTTATTTGCACCTTTATTCCCTCTCTCCACCTCTGTTAAGGTACACTCTTCTTCTGCACAGCGCCTGACTGTGCACTCACATTATCCCCATCCACCCCTTCCCTTTTTGCATGGTTCTCAGCATTATCTCTCATCTCCGAAAGCTCAAGCTCTCTTCCTCATGAAGAAGTATGAGGAGGATAATAACAACAATCCAGAACTATTTCTGTTCCTCCTCCACTCTTTTCCTTCCCAGGAGCATTGGGGAGATTGCATAGCAGTGATAAGAAGTTCCCAGATGGCAGCAACCTTTCTTCATCCTCAGTGTGTTTTCCTGTTGTGCAATGGAGATCAGATGGATGGTTGTCTTGGGAGGAGATCTAGGGTTTAATAAAGTGCCTCCTCTCCAAGGACTGAGGTCCAGCCACTGCATGATATTCAGAAGACTTGCAATACAAATCTCTTTTTTTTTCAAAAATTAGGAAGCCATTTGGGAAATAGAGAGCAAGACAACAGTACAACCTTTAGTTAGCAAAGCTTTATCAGTGCAAGAAAAAGAGTCATCAGTTCATTTGAAGAAGTCTACTATTCAGTGTTGTTCACTGTCTTCCCAAAAATGATCAATTGTCTTTCAGCCTCTGGACAGTAACATCAATCTGTCTAAAAATGTTTCCTATGTCCTCAAAAATATATAATATACACTATATATTTTTATATAGCATATAAAATCTAAGTTTCTCAGACAGTTCTTGCATCTCAAAAATTGTTTTACTTATAGATTAAGGCACCAATTATTTGAAACATTTTCTACAAAGCATTTTTGGGACCATGCACTTTTTAATGCTTCTTTTTTAAAAATGGAAATTGTTCATGAGTGAAAACATCCTGGGACAAAATGTAACACTTCACCCAGCTCCACTCCAGAGCCTGCCTTCAGAACCACATGTGAAAATATGTGTGTGATCATCGATATGTGCAAAGAAACTTTTTTTTTTTTTTTTTTAATTCTTTGATTGCATTTTTTTTTCCTGTTACACAGTTTAATAGTTTGGTGTCAGACCAAAAAAGTCTCATTTTTCTGAAAAGAGGAAAACTGTCCCCAAGAAAACCATTTCAAATCAAAAGCAATGTTTCATTCAACCTACAAACTAAAAATATGATGGAAAATATTTTGTTATCTTTTTTCTCCAAATTATTTCCAGGTATGTTTTTCACCTAATTCAAGCAGAAGTCATCAACAAATTTTAAAGAAGAAGAAACATATATATATATATATTTAGCAAATAGATGCAGATGTCTGAAACAATTTGACCAGTACTATTCCCCCGACATCCACACATATATGAAAATTACTGGAATATGGACTGCTCTTATACTGTGAAAAGGTTCATCACAAAACTTACCAGTTTGTTGCTTCTACCTGAAACCAAGACCCTAGCATCTTTTCAAGCTTTACACCACTGAAATAATACTGAAAGAATCTAAATTGGACACTTGGGAGTTTTCCACCACCAGATTCAGAAGAGGAACCTATAGAAGAATGCTACAAAGATCTTTGACCGTACCTTTTTCTAAAAAAGGGAAAACCTCCCATATTATACTGAAGGTAATTCTTTCTCAGGACCTCAGGCTTTACACAGCCTCATATACAAAGGTCTTCTCAGGGTTTTTATGTCTTTTGATTCTGAGACTGAGTCTTTACATTATGGGGTGTTTGATGAACCCTGTGGTCTTCCTGAAGACATATTAAGACAAAGAGATGACAAATAAGCAAAGTAACTTAACTACAATATTTATGCACATTGCCAGATTACTTGAATCAGAATCACAGCAAAGTATGTGCCCTTGCAAATACCATGACCCTGCAAAAAACCCTCTTCATTTCAAAAGCTATCCAAATTTATCCCTCCCTCTCTGCACTTCACATAAGGCCTTTGATATTCAGTTGACTATGGTTTATTGCTAAAATGTGTTGGTTTTCACTGTCCTTCTAAAAAGTCCTTTCTTCAAGAAAGGACATTTAATCCCTCATGGAACAAAGCACACACATGCAAATCCCACTCCCCTTTATTTTTCATCCCATGAGAGAGTTCAAAACTTTTAAAATCTTATTTCTTCAAGCTTTCATCAAAATATAAAATCAGAGGAAGGCACAGTTATATACAATTGTAAATGGCAACTAAATATTTTAATAGCAATTTATTGGAATATGCTTTTTGAAAGCAAAAAAATAAATTGGCTTGGTAGAAACACATACAAAAGCACATAACTGTGTCATTCCAGTATAGACAGTAAAAGGACTTACTGCTCTGGCTCAGATTTAATACTGTCCTCACCTTATTCCCATCATTGGTTTCAGAGACAACTCAGCATCCAGGAGAACTTAAAAAACAGGTGAGCTAGACTGATAAAAAGTAAAATGCAAACTGCTACTCAGGTCTTTGGCAAACAGAAATGTCTTTCTTTGGAGACCTCTCAGTCATCTTTCCATTACACTGAATGAGCTCCCAGAGTGCAATGTTTACACAGAACCTCTGCACCCGCTTCAATTAGTTGAGCCAAGAAACTTCAAGTCAAAGCATATTCCCTAATATAGCACGGCTGTATATTGCACATGGTTCTGCCCCAGCCATGTCTGGTCACAGCACTGTGCAAGCACATGCCACCTTGCTTCCCTCACAGTACAATGAAAAAGTTGCAACTTTCCTCTTGGTGACCTTCAGGCTCCAAGAGCCTGTAAGTCACACCTGTTTCCTTGACATGGGATCACTTGCTGGGATCATTTACTGCTCCGGTGTTGTGAATGCCCAGGGTGAGCCTCACACTAACAAGTGCTAGGCAGACTACAAGCTGTGATGACCGCCCATGCAAAAGAGCTCTTGTCGGATCCCCTCAGTAGTTTGGTGCATTCTACATTAAAGAA